AACAATGACAAAGCGCGAACTCTTGTAAATATAGGGTAGAGTTGCGCGAAGGAAAAATGACCAACGCTACGATTGTCCAAGTAAACACTCGCGTAAATATTGAAATATGTTTTTCAAACACAAATCTTTATAGTTTGATTCTTTTTTTTTTTCTAATTTTTTCCCTTCCTCTCGGATTATTAATATAAGAATATATAAAATATATAAAAAAATAAAAATCACGTTGATTAATTTGTATATATACATCACGAAAAAAGACGAAATAATTATATTTTTTTACGAATCGTTTCTACCGCTTGTCTGAAGCTTGGAATAAGTCGGTAAGAATAGGTATAAGCGATGTAATAAACGATTAAAAATTACGGTTTCCTTTACACGATGATATCTCATGAACCGGAAGACGTATCGTGACGAATGAAAAACCGTTTTAAAGAGCAAGATTTCATGCTTCTGATGATCTTTTATTCGTTGTTAGAAAGTTATTATTTTCGAAGTTATAGCGGTTCAAACTTTTCCTAATTTCAATAATAATATTTATTCGGATTCAAGGTAATTGAAAATTACCTTTTCTTTACACGATGATATCTCGAGAACCGGAAGTCGTATCGTGACGAATGAAGAATCGTTTTAAAGAGTAAAGTTCCACGCTTCCAACGATCTTTTATTCATTGACCGGAAGTCACTATTTTCGGAATTGTAGTGGTTCAAAGTTTTTCTAATTTTAATAGAGTTTGACCAAGTTTTAACGATTCATATATTATGAGATAGTTCTTTTTTCTTTATTTTTCACGATTAATAATATATCTATTAAGATGCTTAATTAAATGAAAAGTTACCTTAAGTCGATAAAGTCCTTTCCCCCACCAATGTATATTTAACAATTCTATAATATATACATTCTTCCTCGTCCAATACTTTTGCATAATCAAATTCCCGATATTCTCAAGATTCTTTATTTAAAATCCGTCCCTCGAAACGGAATAAACTCGACCCAATTCCGGCAAGACGCTTTGAAAACGGTTTGCGCATAATTACCACGGTCACTTGAAACGATTATGGTCCCGCCGACATCAAGGTTGAAATACAGCTATAATAGAAACGTGATCACCCTTTGGAAGACGCCAACGACCATTAATATGAATACCGCAGAAAGATCGCTAAAAGAAATTCTTGATCGTTAAAGAGAAAGAGGAGGCTTTTTTTTTTTTTAATCTTTACGACGCTTGCTTCAAGCAAGATCACAGGAGTGGCTCGTGTACACACCTTCTGTCTCTCGACCCGCGTGTATCTAGGTCAGCTTAGAAATTTAAAAGAACCATTACTCTTGCGTTTGGCCGAAAACCTGGCCACCCTAGCCTTTTGAAATATTTTAATCCCCGTTGCAATCTTGCGCCTTCCTTCGTGTGTACACGCCAAACCCTATTCAATCAAAGGCGTCCCTTAAGATCCTTTGTGGTGATCCAAGACTACAGGATAATTACCGTTAGTTTACCGAATCTATCTCTATATGCGAACGTTGGTAAATAAGTTATACAAGGATCCTTTGGGCCCTTTCTGTGCACGAGCTTAACGGCCTTTTCTGTAATATTTCCGATCGAAAATCTCGAGGCATATCAAAAATCTCGTATAAAACTGATTGTCTCGGAATTGAAATCTATATTTCATTTTTCTTTTTTAAATTAAACGATCTGAAAAAGCAACAAATTTTTCTAAGTAATAGAGAGAGAGAGAGAAAAGCTTCTATATTTCTTAAATTATATCTTTATGAATTTCTGAAAAGACAATTTTTATTGGCCTGCTCTCTATAAATTCTTAAATATAAATTGAATTAATATTGTACATACCATAGATATAATTTTATTATATTCGCCATTAGAAATTCTATCACGATACATTATTTTTATTTCCTTACTTCGATATTCTTTCAATTTTAAATAAATTATCACATTTCATTATTACCAATCTCTTCAAATTTAATTTAATAATAACAATTATTTATCCAGGACATCCAGCAAATATCGATTGCAATTTCAGAGAACAATTAATTTCTTCCAAGTAATCTCCGTGTACTCGCAGAGAAGTTCGATCACTCTACTTCGACCAAGAGAACTCGCGAATCCTATCCCTGAATTAAGGCCTGTACTTATACGCGTTGAAACTTGTCTCTATACGAGTCGGCCTTTGCGCAGACGCACACGCGAAACTCGAGAAACTTGTGGGAAAAGAATCTTCCACCAGACCGTGCCGCGTCTTTATTCACAGTGTTGGGAGAGGGGGGAATATTTTGGGGAAGCGTTAAATTATGTATACGCATGCGTATCTCGGAGAAGTATCGGTGAAGTAGTTGAGTGAAACACGAGCCGAAGCAACCAGCGAGAAACGTCTACTAATTTCGCCACTGCCACTCCTGCAAAATTTTAAATCAGAAGTTTCGTTCTATTGGATCGATCCTTGCTTTTATGCAATTTAATATGTAAATTATCAGCTTGAAATTCCGTAGAAATGATCTTTTAAAACAACTTGTCAAAATTTGAGAAAGTTTTCTGAAATTTTAACTTTGGACTCGTGTTAATTATAGAACTACGTTTTAATTAGGGGGGGGGGGGAAGAAATTTGTAGATGAATGGAGGAGAGAGGGACAGTTGCTAGGAGAAATATCACATTGTATTATCCCCATAAAGTTCTCGAATATGAATAAAGAATACGAGAGAGAAATAATTTAATTCAGTTGTAAAGAATTTTTATAATACTGTTATATGATATGATACTGTTTTCTGCGAGCTTTTTATATAACTATTTGCGTTTCACGAAAAGTATAAAAATTTCGAAAAATAATAAATCATGAAAAAAAATATATATATATAATTTCGTATAAAACTCGAATTTATATATAATTCTTCACAATAATTTCTCTCTTTTGACAATACACGCTAGTTTCGTTTATAAATTTGACGCGAATACAATAGCAAAATAAAATGGAAGTGAAAATTCGTTCCCCAAATATAAATTCATGAATAATATAATAGTTATTTTTTAGTAACGCTTTTATTTGTATCAATTGTTTAAAATATTAATATTTGTTACTTAATCGCGATTTATAATTTTTCTGGATAAAAGAAAAAAATTGTTATAATATTTCTTCACTTCGTTTTCTTTTATACACGCACTTTTAAAGTCTGCTCGGTTCACTTTTGTAAGAACACGCAATATCCTTATTTCTGGAACTGCTCATATCTGTTTCTGTTCCACTTACGCGACTATAAAGAAAAGTTTTTTCCCACCTCTGGCTAAACTACTTTCATCTAAACACATCTGTCATCCTTTGTACATCGTTTGATAAAATAAAACTAAAAAAGATCTTGGATACCGTCGATTGTAATTTAATAATAATAATAAAAAAAAATTATCTTTGAATGTATCTTTGCTCGATAAACTAAACGTTAGGGGAAAAAATGAAAGTTCCTAGAATTATATTATAAAATATTAATTAGAAAATAAACGAAATAACAACGAAATAATTTACACGATCCTGTGTGATCTTTGATTGTGAAAAAGATGATGAAAAAAAAAAATTTAATTATCATGCTAAGAAACGAAATAAAAAGAGACCCGTTTAAATTGAAAATTCTTTAGTGGAAAAATTGAAAGTTTTTCTTTTTTTACAGAATTATGTTGTACACGAAAGGTACAATTTATTAAAGATTCTCTTTCAGAAATATTTTTCTTCTTAATTGTGAGAAATTAAATTGAAAGCAGAATAGAGAGGAAGTGTGAAGTTTTATTATCGAAGACAGCTTTATAGAGCATAACCTGCAAGTTTTATTTTTTCTGGGCTGTAACTGAAATACGATTTTATCGAAAGAAGTTCAAAAAAAAAAAAAATGAAATGAAATGAAATGAAATTTTTTTTATCGTGAAAATACCGTGTAAAATGTCATGAAATATTTTATGAAAAAAAAAAAAAAATCACTTCTGGAAATAGCTGTTGACCAAAGGGAGAATAAAACGTACGTGTTTTCGTTAGAGAAAAATTCATCGATTTTTTATTCCATCTAATTTTTCAATATTTTTTCATGTTTTTTTTATAATAAAAAATTAATCTTCATTAAAGATTTTTCTTCCAATCATTTTTACTAATTTCAATCGGTTACAATTTGCCGTTTCAATCTCCTCTTGAAAATTATCATTTCTAGTTCTAATCATACACATGGGTAACCATTTCGTCATAATTTCGACACAACGAGAGATTTCAAGAGAGAAAAGCCAATAATGGTGGAATTAGAGAGTTTGTTACCGTGTATTGAAACAAAATTTCATATTTGAAATCCACTGGAAATTGTTTGAATTATGAATTGGCATCGCACGTTAAGAGAGGACTTATATTGTACAGCTTTGACCATCTCCAAAAGCACACACTACAATCGTGAAATTTTCTGAAGATGATTTAATTGACGATTATTGAATATTTCAACAAATGGAGCAATATCTACCTTCAACTTGACACAATTCAACATTCCAAACAAATTCCAATCCATAAATTGTTATATATCTACTTACAATCAAACGACGAGTTTATGAAATTTTGTGTATGAAATATTAAAAAAAAAAAAAGATATAGCTCCAGTTATTTAAAATGTGAAAAGCAAATAATGAATGTTATTTTAATTTTTATGAATATCGCTATACACGACAGGCAAATATCAGTTGTAACAGAAAATAATATCGAAGATATTCTAAATCCAATTTTTGTGATGTTTATTTTTACAAGGCGAATTCAAATTTTTGTTATAATTTTCCGAAGACTGCGTTTCGTGGAATCCTTTGGCAAAGTTATGCGAAGGAAAAAGTACACCAAAACGGACTGTCAACGTCGAATTTCGCATGCTTTGGAAAAATATTTATAGCGAATTCGCGAAGAACAAGTGAAAAAGAAAAGGGAAGTGAAAGGACGATGCGAATTGTGAGGGCGAGGTACGATTGAAAATTTCGAAGCGAATGCAAATGCGGTAAGAAAAAAAAATTCAAGCGTAATTGGAACGAATGAATATGTACAGAGAATTTTTATCCGCATTGAAGATTTATTTATGCGCGCCATTTTCGAAAGATCGTCCATTTCTTTCAAACGATCCAAAAAAGCTTCTTCTTTTGGAATTTTTTATTTCGTGGCAAATCTCAATAAAAGACAGGAATTTTATAATTTAAATAATTTAACGCGTAATTTAATTTTATTGTATGATTATATTATACTTCCCCGAGGGAAGTATAAATTTCGAAGAATAATTAAGCATATGATTAAGAGCGAATAGGTATCGAAGAATTTCATAAATTTGTTGAAGGAACGCGGAATATATGTGAAGCAATATGAGATGAAAAAAATTTCTCGACATGTATGTTCAGCAAGATATATCTGCCTCGACGATTTTTAATTTTTTTTCATTTTTTTCATTGATACATAAATTAAAATATTTTTAAGCTTAAAATACTTTTCAAAAAAGGATATATTCACTTTCAATATTTGGATAATTAATATTTAACAATATTTATAAGTAATAAAAGTAGAACGAGAAATGAAAAAAAAAATTGATGGATAATTAAAATATTCTTTAAGCTAATTCTATTTTCTAACTATAATTATTTTCATCAAACGTTTTAAATTAATTAATTTCTGCACCCTCTCTCTCTCTCTCTTTCTCTCTTTTTCTTTCCTTTTCTTTTCATCGTACAACAGTTTTACATTTCCATATCAGTAAATTTACATAGAAACTCATGTTTCTCTGAGAATCAATTACTAAAATGTATAATCTTGCACACCTATCCAATTACAAATTTTTGAAAAAATTATCACGTTTCTAATACCATAATTACAAAGATTTTTATAATTTTCATATTATCTTTCTAAAGAATAATTGACGAGGTTAAGATTATATCCAAATATATCGAATGTTGGACGTATAATTTAAGTAATGTGTCTTTCTCGTTTACTCTCGTTATACCTATTTACTATCCTTGTCAATAGGTTCAAGTTACAACGAGGTCGAGACATTAAATGGTGAGATAATAATGGATTTTTCTTTCTTTTCTATTTTTTTTTTTCTTGGAATAAAAGCCAAGTTATCAGACAAGAATTATGATTGTATTGAATTACAACCTGAAATAAAAACTTGATTAATCTAGGAGAAATAATCTAGGATTTGAATTATTGTACTGTAGATTATGCCTTTCTTGTTTACTCTCCTTATAATTAACCAAGCAACTCACTGCCTTTGTCAATAGGATCAGATTACACTGAATGATTAAGCTGAGCTGAGTTTCTAGAAACTTTAATCAAACAAGAATTAAAATTATATAAAATTTAAAAAAAAATTAAAATCTGAAGAATGATAAAACAATAATATTTAACTTATATACACGTATCTATTCACTTTTCTTGTAGATAAATTTAAGTTAAATTCACACAGAATGAGATAATGAATGATGAGTTACTGTGATATATCACCGTCATTCGAGCAGAAAAAGTGAAATTCACTTACCAAATTCCGAGTCTTTCGAGCAAAACCGAAATCTTTGCAAAAATCTAATCAATTATCGTTAATGCTCATCACGTGACGCAATCATCCGATCCACGACAGGTGCAAAATGTCAGTACAATTTAATAGTTTGAACGGTTGT